CCTTCAATTGTAATTTTAGGTTGATATTCTTTCTGATAACAACCTTCTTCTTTGCATCTCAGGTCTTTTATCGCAAGCATTCTGATTTCATATATATATATATATGACATTTTTTATGTTTATACATTCTTTTTATAGATACAAATATTTAAGTAGATGCTCTCTTTTATAATAAACATTATTAATAACATTTACCGGCCTGAATGTCCAAGAAATTTTCATAGAAAATATTCGTCCTCCGACAGGAATCGAACCTGTATCCTATACGGAACCGTCATTTAACCGATCGAGCCACGGAGAATTGTTCGATTGGCAAAGTCGAATTTACTGTCTTTAAACTTCAATCTTCCATGTATCTCTCACGTACATTCATATCTGCTCAAAGCGTATCCAAATGTGAACAAATGACGTCACACATTATGAAATGGACAAAGTCCGACAATTATTTTAAGACATTTTTATGTGTATACATTCCTTTTTTATAGATATAAAATTCAGGCCGGCAAATATTATTAATACTTTTTATTATAAAACAGAGCATTTACTTAAATATTTGTATCTATCTTATGTCCATTTCATAATATATATATATATATATATATATATGTGTGTGTGCATGTCTGATTATTTTGGGGATTTAGGTTAATTATATTGTAATTCGTCGAGCCTAGAATAATCCTCAACAGAATGCAGAAAGCATTGGACGGCCGTTTTGTCCTATTTGGGACTTATCAGCAGTATGCATCCTCTACCGATAATCGAACCCGGACCGTTTCGATACAACGCAAACGTCATACCAACTGTACCACGGGCCTCGGTGACGAAAAATACACAAACTAGACTCGATATAGCGCCGCTACTCACTAAGTTCCGCAGCGATACTCATCCAAATATTCAGATCCTCGGAACAGTGCCCCAAAGACCACGACTGCTTTTTGATCATTGACTCTCCATCGTGGACAATTAGCTGGGCCTAGCAAGGATTTAAATTTAAATTATTAACTTAAGTTTAAGTTTAAATTATTTACTTAAGTTTCTTAAAGAAGCTATCTATTAATCAACTGCAAAAATGTTTTTTTTTATGTAGAAAACTGACAAAACATATAACTTGTCTAGCATTTTGTTAGATTACAACTTGATTTTTTTTAGGAAATGGCATTGTCCAATCTACAATATGAATCCGTTTACATCCGTTCCTGTTTAACGTCTGTTGCTGTCATGGATTTCAAACCTACGGGTCATGATTTCCTTCATTTTTGCCCCTTCCTTTTGTTTAAATATAACGTAGGTCATATTTGATTGGTTGATCTAAGCAAAGCCCACAAACCTTATAACCCCACCTCTTTTTTATCTTTTTTTCTTAAAAAGAGGCTGTATTTTGTTTTTAAATCTGATTAAATCGTTCACTCGCCAGTAATTTACAATCGCCTGATAAGATGCGTTGTATGGTCATCAAAACACGGCTGCAGTTGTGTAGCAATTTTGACATGTTTCGATGTAATATCCAAAAATAAAGTGTATATATATATATATATATATATATATATAATATGTGAAAATATATAGAAAATAGGAGGGAACTAGTTAGGTAAACAATCCAAAGTTCCTTAGTATTTTAGTTATTATTTTTTAAAAGTAGTGCTCGATACAAAAGTAGAGCATAAATATAATTATTAAATTAAAATTTCTAAATATAATTATTAATTTGAAATTATTATTATTTAAAATTTATAAATATAATTATTAAGTTGGAATCATATTTTAAATTAATAATTATATATATATATATATATATATATATATATATATATATATATATATATATGATAAATTGATAAATGCGAATGTTAGTGTATCACTATGTCACATCTTTTTAATTAAAGGGACTCTCTAACGTCCCATAGCTCATCTTGTTCTTCTATATAATAAATGCGAATTTCAGAGTCTCACTATGTCACACCTGTTCAACTAGAGGCCGTAGCCCAACATATTTTACCATTTTGACATCAGGCCGACTCCGAACTCGCAATCCTGAAATTTTGGATTCCAAAATTTTCATTGCTGCGATTGTTTTCGGTGAGTTTTGTACGTTATTTTTGCGAAGAATTTTTGGGACGGTGACAATTTTATAACTTGGAAATAATTTGGGAATAACAGAAATTAATTACGAAATCCAGTGAAAATAAACCATGAAATAAAAACAATATTTTGAGCGTAAAGTAAGGCCCTACGTACATTAAATTCTCTTTAAATTATGTGGCGGCAGAAGTTTTTGAATTTATATATGCATGTATATATATATAATAAACTTTCTCATTTCATGCACGCACGCACACACACACACACATACACACACATATATATATATATATATATATATACATATATTGTTATTAATCATGACGGTCGTCTTCGAGTATAGAATCCAGAGGTTAGCAGTGAATATTTCGAAGACAGTAGGGAAGCGTTGTTCAGGTTAGCAATGGATATTTTGGTAAAAAGTAGCAGAGCATAGTTCGTCCTTCTGGTTCTCTTCGCCTAACAAGCTGGACTGGACATTCGGGTAGAGTGAACAAAAATGGCCGCCTTAATACACGGCGGATAGAATGTTCTACGTCTTCTGATTGGTTAACCTTCTATTGGTAGAATATAAAGCGAGTCAAGGCATTTGGACTAACTCACTAGTTATATATATATACATATATATACACAAAAAACTGTATATATATATATATATATATATATATATATATATATATATATATATACAAGCTTCATTGAACAGGATCTAGACACATACATCTACATACATAAATTTAGGGAAAAATAAAAATTAAACATCATACTTGATAATGGCTAAAAGAATAGCCGAAACCGCTCGAACATACAGAACAGTCGGAGAATTTTTACATACTTTATGTCCTGAAAAGAAAAAAGTACGAACACAAAAAATTTAAATAAAACACTTAATCTTAGTACGTTGCAAGTCGTCTTTAATGAAATTTGTATAAAAGAGGGATTGCTTCCCACATACAAAATTATATATATATATATATATATATATATATATATATATATATATAGTATCGCAAAAATGTATAACACTTTAACAATTGATAGCTTAAATGATGTTTTATTTCTTTCCGGGTAAAACCCATTGCAATTAATTATGGCAAACAAACTAGGCTTTGAGCAAAAGAAATTCATTCTAAAATGCCACTGGAAGTGTGAAAACGTAATTGAAGTGCAAAGACAGTTTAGGAGGCAGCTTCAAACAGATCCACCAACGCGGCCATCAATCAATTTAGACATAAGTTTGAATTCGATGGAACTTTTCAGAATGTCCACGAGAAGCGTTCTGGAACATCACGGAATTCGACAAGCCCCACAAAACAAGAAAGATTACGAAAAACGTATCACAAAAGTCTAAGAAAATCTGTGCGGCAAGTGAATCGTGAGGTAGATATTTCAAAATCGTCTGCCCAACGAATATTTAAGCACTATCAATGGGAAAGATAGATTCCAAGATTAGTCCATGCTATTAATGACTATGATTCAGAACGAAGAGTGGACGATTGTGAGTGGTATTTGACGCAATCTGTAGAAAATGCACGCTTTCCAACAAAGATTGTGTGGAGTGATGAGGCCACATTGGAATTTAATGTTTCAATTAAAGGCCATAATTGCACCTATTGGAGACTTGAGAATCCGCATGTTATGGAGGAACATCATGTTAATTTCTTATAAGTTACAGTGTGGTGTGGTTTATCATCAAGATAATTAAATGGATCATTCTTTTTTTTTTACGCTATAATGACTTTTATTTTCAGCAACGTGGGGCATCCCGACACTACCATCACGATGTTAGATCCTACCTTGACGAGATTTTGCAAACAGGTGGATTGGACCAGAACGGACGTCAGTTTGAAAACAGGCGTTGAGAAAACAATAAAATAATGTCTGTAGATTCTATAAAATTTTTAATTATTTAAATTGTGTATACATTTTTACGACACCCCATATATATATATATATATATATATATATATATATATATATATATATATATATGTATAGATAGATAGATAGATAGATAGATAGATAGATATAGCTTTAAATAAAGTGGACATGATACCTAAGGCACCTTTCGGTCAATATTAGATATAGATGAATACAAAGACAACTTAATAAAGTGAATGAGGAGGGAAAGGTGGAACACGACTAAAAGACAAATTTTAATTATATAAATTGAAATTGAACAAAGGGGGGATGTAAATAAATAGCTCCACAAGTGTATATAAAATAGAAAAAGGGGGAACTCACAGACCCTCCAACAGACGTAAGGAACGTAAAAAGTGTTCCTTCTGTCTGAACAGACTGGGTTGCTGACACTTAATATAAATGGCTTCAGAACCTCAAAGATGGTGTATTGATCGAGCACTCTGTAAAACTGAAAACTACGTGTCTTCGTACTCAGCGGCACAAGCATCATTGTCCAGCAAATGTTGGCCAATTGCAGACTCATGGAGTTGTTATTAGTATAGGCTGGCCGAGACTGCTTGAACGTACAAACATGCTACGCCACCCTCGTTTCCAACCTTAGATTGGTACGTCCTATGTATACCGCGTCGCAACGGCATCTGAATTTATAAACAACAGAAGTTTTATGAAAATAGGACAGCCTATCTTTAGAAAAGCAGGGTTTTAGTGTGAAAAACCGTGCGCAACTTAACAGCATTGTATGTAGACAAAATGGACGCCGAAATTTTGTCCGATAATAGCTGACATTTCCTTCCATTTTAGTAAGTTCTCCCTCTAACATTTCAGGGGAACAAATCATGACAGCACGATGAGCCAAAGTTGAAATCAAACTAATTTTGCCAGACTTAGGAACAAACGAGTTCCAACACGTATAAAGTCCGGTGAATGTGGGCTTACGAAAAACGTTAGCGACGAAAGCCCCATACTTGCCCCTTGCGTTCAACTAGGACATCCAAAAAATGGAGAGCTCTGTCCTATCTATCTATCTATCTATCTATCTATCTATCTATCTATCTATCTATCAGTTCAAAGATTTATACGCTGAGGGAATACGGAAGCTTGTGCACAGATGGGAAAAGTGTGTGACAGTGCTGGGAGACTACGTTGAAAAAAAAAAGTAAGCTTCTATCTTTATTGGAAGTCCTTATACCGAAAAATTAACCTTATTTATTGAATGACTCTATATATATATATAGATAGATAGATAGAGAGAGAGAGAGAGAGAGTGAGAGGAGGGACGTTGAGTAATGAATAGAGGTTCGGATTGAGAAATCGGAGAGCCGAGTTCGAATTCCAGTCGAGTTTGTTACATTCACTTACGCGCAAAATAAATAGTTTTTGAAATGGCATGGTATGAATCCATCTCTTTTCCCTCCAGCTACGGGCAAATAACAGAAACACGCCATGCCTTAGAGACTTTGATGGCAAGCGGTTTTAGAAGAAGGCAAAACCCGTGGGGATCGTTCCAAAACGCTAGGTTACTTCTTGACAACTGCTTGCCGCTATAATCAAATCATGTTTGCCGGTAGTGTGTCTATACGGTTCTCAAAACTGAGAACTGCTGGGCAATTCATATTCTGGGAAAAGGGGGTCTAGAAGAAGACGAGAGAATTTAAAAGAATATTTTTGCTTTTCAAGGGGTAACATGCCTAAGAGAAGCGGAGAAACGTGTTACATAATGTCCCTGTGAGTGTGAAAAGGAAAGCTAGCGAATATTTAAAAAATCTGTTGAAACTTGACTAATGCATGGAATAATAATGCAACACAAAATGTACTTAAGAACAAAATGTATTGAAACAAGAAATATCAATCGACATCGTCTGATGACTTGATTGTCGTCCTTCTCTTTATCCTTTCCACAAACACACCTCTTTTCTCTTACTTTCACTCTCTGTAACCCTATGCGTGCTATTGACACTTCCGCCTTGCTTGGTGCGAAAGGCTTAAATAGTCTGTTCTTACTCACAAATACAGAATCCATGATGCAAGACGCTGTGCTTATCCCACATGTCCAGGAAACATCTGCGTGTTCCCGGCGCTTATCCTAAACTATCCTCTGTTCATTACAAGGCGTCACTGATTGGCATTTAAGAGTGAAGAATAAGAAAAATTAAGCTCAAAGTAGGAAAAACAAGATTCCTTTTCAGAGAACATTAGAGATAAATTTAAAATAAAAAATCAGGAATTAGCTAAAAGAGACAGAGGAATTTCTTACTCGTTAAAATCATACTGAGATATATCGATCTGAATGCTTAACCATTTTTTAATCTCAACTTTTCCCAGACAAAATCCCCAGTTATACGCAAAAATCAATTGAAACGAAAAAAAAAAAAACAACCACGAAAAAAAAACAAAAAACAAACAAACAAAAAAAAAATTTCTCGTAATTCACTAAATATTCCCCAATGGAAGCTTCCTTTATCTTTTTAATGACATATCCCTTCAGATCTTTTGATACTTTCAAAATATTCTCTCTTTACACCAATAATATCGATTGTTCCTTGATTCAATGTAGTCTGAACCGAACATCATCAAAAACTTTTCTTCTGACGCACTCTTGCACCAAATACTTACCCTTCACTCATAAGAATAACGTAAACAGTTCTGGCGGCATCTAAAACGAAATATTTGAAATACACGCACAGAATTTTAATCTAACCGAAACAAAAATATTGTAAAAATATACTCAACTGGGGGTTACGGTATTAATATTGTGGCTCGAGAATATCAGAAAAAGAGATTTTTCTCCTTCAGGAATGAAAGCAAAGAACAATAACTGAGAGGCTGTAATGAAATAATCGAAATCCTATGTCCTTATACCGAATATACCTTATCAAGTGCATTTACGTTGTCTGTAGGTAAGGTAACCTCACTAATTCGCGATACCTAATGTTTAAATAAATCTAAACAAATGAAAAACATTTTTGAACATTTCGTTTTAGCTTTAATTGAAAGCTAACGGAAAAATTTACTATTTCCAGTAAGCAAAAGTGTCTGGTGTATTTCAAACAGAAATTATATTGATTGGAATCGATTTTTTCAGTAAAATCGCTAAAATAGACCATTTTGACACATTTGTAAACAGAAGTTAATTCCTTGTTTTAAAAATCTTGCAAAAATTAAATATGTATTAGTGAAACCTTATTTGAGGAAAATTAGCAAATTTAAAGTTAAATTAATCTGAGTTGGAACAAATATTTCTTACTTTATGGGGTCTTGTTTTTCTGACGTGTTGATCGATTTATTGACAGCCGAACGTGTTGACAGTTAATGATGATGGAGCAGAATTTAAAGTAGCTGATAAAGTTTATATGAGGATTTTTTCGCAAGGAGGTGACAGCTCTTAAAACACCTGACCTTATAATGATAATGTCATGTATAAACTTGCATACTTAAAAAAAAATAGAAAGTTTATACACAAAAAAGTATAAAAATTGCTATAAAAATCTTAGTATATGATGTTTTTTTATTAAACTTTTTAATTTTGATTAGTAAATATAGTTTTTACTTCATAACAATATCACCTAAATCGATCATTTCAAAATTACATCTATTGGATGCTTTGATACACATTATCAGAAAGCAATAGCGGTCAATCTACCTTGGTAGCTGCGGAGATATATTCATGCTTTTTCTAAGGGTATTGCCGCAGAATGAGCGAAATAAACACACAGACACACACACAAACAGACACACATATATTTCTTAAAATACGTTTATTGAATGCCATAGTACAAATCATTAGTGATGTTCCTAGGTTCATCAGGGATTTCGGATCTTTCAGCATCATACCCCCTCTAGGCGATGACCAGCCGATACTGATTGAGTATCGAATTGTGTACCATCCATAAGATACAATTTTCTCGATTTTCGACTTGGCAATTAATAGTACAATCACAGATAACTTCCGGTACACAAGCAATGTACGCTCTTCCATAAAAAAGGTCGCAAACGCAGTAACGGTTGGTTAGGAATATGGCGACACATTCGACTGGAACGATTTCTCTCCCTCACTGAGATACATACATGTAAAACACTTCATGTTAATAACCCAAACGAAGAAAAGAAAACTACCTCCTGCGTTCACTGGACACACACACACACACACACACACACACACACACACACACACACATATATATATATATATATATATATATATACTAAGACATTTTTATGTTTATAAGTTCTTTTTATACATACACATTTTTATTTAAATGTTCTGTTTATAATAAACAGTATCAACGACATTTACCGGCCTTTGTATCTATAAAAAGAACGTATAAAATTTTCTTAAAATAAAAACAAGAATAAATCTATTTCCATACATGAGGATGTCTGTAGGAACAGACGAAAGCTTGTAAAAAATTAAAAATACCTTATGTAATTCGAATTTATAAACAAGGATCATATCATTTATATACAGGTTCGGGGTTGGTGTATCTTATTGATATTGTTTGCGAAGATGTATTCTCGCCATTTAAATCATTATCATGTATATGTGTTTTTTTGTATGAATGATTCATGAATTTATATATATATATATATATATATGTGTGTGTGTGTGTGTGTGTGTGTGTGTGTGTGTGTTTCATTAAATAATATACAAGTGTTGTCTATTTATTTTAAGTAAGTTCCTTTCATATTGTCTGATAAGCTTAGTAACATTATCATTGAAAGACGAAAGGAAATCACCATATTGATACATATTTAAATCCAATCTAAGCTTTCGGCTTACATAAGCCATTATCAAAGATGACAATTACATTTCAATATATCAACCAACACACGGAAAATTAATAATGATAGTCTGTTTTTGTTGCATGAAAAATTTCAAAGCAACGACTAACTCGTGTATACCAAGGACTTCCCATACTTAATACTTCTCGTTTTCACTCTCACGTGGTCATGTGTGACGTCACGAGCTGCGGCGCGATTTTCCGAGTCTCGTTCAGCTTGAAGTGATAACAAACAAACAGTCTCCCTCACTGAGATGTATACATGCACACACTTCATGTTAATCACTCAACCGAAGCCCCACCTCCATGCATCCACTTCACATACACGTATACCCATACACGCACACACACACACACACACACACACACACACACACACACACACACATATATATATATATATATATATATATATATATATATATATATTGGTGAAACCTTGGTAGGTAGGTAGGTTCTGGCTCACTAGGTTTTTTTTTACATATATATATATATATATATGTATGTATGTATGTGTGTGTGTGTGTGTGCGTGTGTGTGTGAATATACACACACGTACATATATACACACACACGCACACTAACATACACCTCCGCAAAACCGTAACTCTGGTAGGGGGCTAACGGTTGGTAAATCGTAAGTGACAATAGTTTAGGCTCCGTTGTCCGGTGTAGTTTTAGGTCATACCCCAAACCTACCTTCCAGTTCCCACGAGAAAAAATAATAATAATAATATAGCCAAAATACCCGAATTTCGCCCCCGATTCGAGAGCACTAACTGCTTTTATCCGCCGAGCATTTTTTTCCATTCGTCGACAACTGGGAGAGGACGCTCAATTTTTGCATATCAAAAGACTTTTATAGCGACTCCTGTGACGGACTTGTTTTTTAATTTAAATATTCCGTCTTCAGCATGTCATGCTAAATACGTGCCCTTTTTTTTGGGAAAGTAATTTTCTTTTTCGCCACATTTTCCATCGTAGGATACACGCTTCGCACTGTCGCTTGGTTTGACGAGGTAAGTCAACGTTTTCTTCGCTATAAATGTACAACAAAAAACTATTTAAACTGTTTGGAAAACTTTATTCATTTGCGAAAGCTGTTACAATAATCAAGAATATTTATAGAGAACAAACCGCCTGCATGCGGTGAGCAAATATATTGGACACTTAAACAAAAATAAGACTAGGCTTTCCTACTGAATTTCTTTAACTTATACAGTGAGGTGATCCTGATAAAACTAGAACTCTTATAAGGATTTGTTATTGGTGAATAACAGTTTTAACAATATAAGATGGCCAAATCTGTACTGATGGAAAAAAAAATGACGTTTCTTTCCTTTTCTCACTGGATCAACGTAGCGTTTCTGATGTCATTTCCGTATGTCCTCGCGATCAAAACGGAACAGTTCATCATTTATGTGGTATTGGCAGTGCCTACTAATGCAGCTAAGTGAATCACAAAATGACATAATAAGATCATCATATTAAGCGAAATCTTTATCGTTTCGCTTAATAAATTTTGTTCTATTTCGTATCTGTTGCAGTTAAGTCGACATATGTTTGAGTTCAACTATTGATGGGAAGATCATATGTGAAATAACTTTCAACTCCAACAATAGTTATAGGCAGAGCCGGTGGAACATCTCAATTTTCATAAGGTCAGATAGTTATGTGTCATGCGTGACACACGCTTAGGCGATCTTTCGATACATGACTGACGAGGCAGATTTTTCCCGCAGTAGGTTGTCATTTCTTTCTGCGGTAGACCAGTTGCCATACCAGATTATAGAAGCAGGTCTGTCTTGCTATTTACCCATATCTACGTGTAAAAGAGGAGCCTTCATACCTTTCCCAAAGGTATTAGCGCGTAAGTGAATGCAATAGATTTGACTGGAATTCGAACTCAGCTCTCCGATACCTTAATCCGGGTCGCTATCCATTACTCCACCGTGCCTAAATAAGGTTGTTACGAGTATAGCAACAATGTTTTCAAATGTCTATAATAGCAATATTTTTAAAATTAAAATTATATATAAAAAAATTATATAAATCAAAGTTACCTCCCTTAGATCAAAACTTGGGAACGCATTAAAGTTGATGGTACAGGCACCAAGAAAATTTTGAAATTTCACTAAATTACTGGGGAATCTTCAGGCCATATGAAAAGATCCAGTGAGTTATGTGCCATGCGTGATACACGTTTAGGCGATCATGTATCTTTCGATACATGTCTGACGAGGCAGATTATTTCCGGTAGTAGTTGCCATTTCTTTCTGCGGTAGACCAATTGCGATCCAAGGTTATAGAACACGTTCTGTCTTACTATTTACCCATAGCTGGGGGAAGAAGAAGACAATTCATACCTTTCCTAAGGGTATTAAGACGTAAGTGAATATAATGGATTTGACTGGAATTCGAACCCTGCTCTCCGATTCCTCAATCCAAGCCGCTATCGGAATTCTTAATCGGTGAGACGAGTTTTAAATCAAATTGGGTTCGTTATATTCACTTAAGAGGAGGTATCTTTGAAAAAGGTATGAATTCTTCTATTCTCCCCCATCTATGGGTTAATTAGTAACATCTGTGTCCTTAAGCCATTATTGTCTCCAAAAATAAAATAAAATTGTGTACAAAACATTCCGATTTCAGCATTAAATAACTGATACAGGTCTATATGCATCTAAAACACACCCAACCTACCAAATAAAAGTATCTGTATATATTTTTGAGATGAGGTATTATGTAAATTATTTACATTATTCAGACTATTGTCCTCATCTTTGTCGCCATATTTTTACAACGTTTCGGCCTTTCAGTATCTGTCTATTTTTATGATATGAGGTATTATGTACACTATTT